TTGAAATATTTCATCTAATAAACACAATTAGTGATAAGCAGTAATAAACATACTAATAATAAAAAAAAACATTAAGTGGTCTACCCGGACTCACATGTCGTGAAAGAGGCCGGGTGAGAAAGAAAAAAAAGAGGAGAGGAGTAAGGGTACTACTGGACTGACATGTGGAGAACAAGGCCAGGGATAACAAGAAGGAGATAAATCCTGCTGGAGCGATACACATAAAGTGAGCCTAGCGTAAAAGAAGAAGTGATATACTAGCTTGATACGGGATGCATAGGACTACAGTTGCAACTCGGTATGCTGGGTGTCAATACGCTGGATCCCTTGCTGTTCCGTACGAAATCCTGAGGGATTTTGATTTTCCTCTTGCGAAATCAGTTTGCTATCCCGGATTTCCTGTGAATATTTGCTGTCCCGTACGAGATCCTTTGGATCTTGGTAATACGGCATATCGAGTTATGACTATAGTAGTAAATAATGGAATGGCACTCGGTTAACAGCTTCACACAACCAGCTAGGACAGGATGTGCTGAATTAAATCAAAAAGAAGCCCAGCGGGAGAGGATGTGGAGCTGGGGTTACATCATGACACTGCCCAAGATATAGAAAGAGAGGGCTGGGTTGATACGTGATAAACGGGACCAAGAGAGTGAGTACAGTGGCTCACCTAGTTATGGCAGATCCTGTCTGATTGTTGTGCCCGTAGTAATTTACTCTCGGCATCCCAACCCTAACTACCATTGGCCTCAAATCCCTGCAAGCCATCAGGCAGGATCCGTCTACACCCCGTGAGTGACTGTAGTGGAAAAGTTATATTTTATCCGAAAAGGCACAGCATGAAGAAAAGATGAAACACTAGAGTCATCCCATGAACCTTAGAGGTAATGTTGACACCCCTTCGTAAATGCCAAGTGGTGGCTATGGCCAATGGGTGTTGTGGTTTTTGTCGATCCATTACCCAATTCTGCTAAAGCCTTTTGTCCCGCATGAGGGGTGTCAGCATCGACGATTTATAAGATACATCAAAAGAGCCTAGTGTGAGAGAAGAGGTACTAGAGTTATAGCACGAGGCAGCCAACCGAAAAATTCGGAGGGTAACATCGATTAACATAGGTAAGAAGAGTGGGAGGAGTAAAGAAAGTTGAACTTATAGTTTGTGGCAGACATCGGGAGCAAAAGGGGATTCTGGAGTTATCACTTAAGCTGTCGCGAAAATGCTGACCCACAAGAAAAAGCAAATTTAGTGTGGCTTTACTCACAGATCTTGTTATTTCCCTTATCAAATAATTGATCTCACATATAAACTTAATTCCTCTATTATAGGGGGTCAGCAATTGACACCTTGAGGGGTATCATACACAATGAATAAATCCAAGGGGAGAAGAGGGAGATGCCGGATTGATACGTGATACACAATAACAGCTGGACACTGGATAGGACGGGGGTACTGGATCTGGAGTTATACACAATGAATAAATCCAACGAGGGAAGAGGGATATCCCGGATTGATAAGTGATACACGATACCGGCAGGATGGGACAAGGTACTGGAGTTACAGCTTAAAGAAGCCCAGCGATGGAGGACGGGGTGGGGTGGGGGGGGGCGGGGCTGGGGTTATATCACGAGAAAGCCCAGCGGATCTTGATGGGGACGGGAAGGAGGTGCCTCTATATAGACTTAACCGAAGATACTACGTTGTGTGTCTCCCTGGAACCTATCCAAAGAAGACAGCTGTAGGTGTAGGTGTTCACGATACACCCGTGGTAGTACCAGTCGATAGCCATCGGCATAGAATAGAGGGATGACAACTTAACGTAACGATCAAGGATGATGATGATCTGTGATGATGGATCCGGGAAATGATGATATATCAACCACAACCACCATACATTGGCATCGGAATTGGTCTGAAATGAAAGAAATCGTGTACGGGGTTTTGAAGGTCCGCGCAATATACCGAAGGGCTCGCGATATACTTTGCGTATATATGGGTTGCCAGATTCCCTATAGTTTAGCACCATAGGGATTTTCGTTATTGAAAAACCCAACTAGATGTACAGTACGATGCCAGTTGTGAGGGTCAGGCGCGGCGTCGCAACGCCCCAGAACCATCACGGGTACCAGAACAGCAACCACAATTGATCCTTTTTAGAGCTGAATTTTGGTATAGTTGTTAAATAGTAGATAAATAACAATAATTTGACATTTAATATCTTCTGTATCAACCCGCCGTGAGAAGATTGTGGGGGTCTGGTTGTGCGCGCAGCGTTGCGACGCCGCGCCTGACCCTCACGACTGGCATCCTACTGTACCTTCGTCTGTATTGATGATAGTAGACTTTGCCTATTCACGTGTTTTTTACTCCTACTGAACCTGACCCTCACTCCGTCAACCATTTCTGCAGGTAAGCAACATCCTGTGAGCCCGCTCTTCCCTTTTACGGCAGTACCAACTCCTCTTCTTTGCTACATTCTTGCTGATCGCTATTGCGAATCTCAGGCTCAGACGAAGCTATGGTGCACCCACGCTTAAAGGCCAACGTCTAATGACCTTGTGGCGACAAATTGTAAAGAAAAGCGTAATTATGCTTGTGGATATCTAGTACTAGTCGTGAAGTTTATTTCCATCATTCAGAATTGTAGTGTCTGGATTTTGGTATTTTTGTATATAAAACTAGGGGTGTGCCAACTCGCGACTGTCAGTTATAGTATTATGGGTATCAAATAATTATGGAAGGCCCTCGATGGGGGCCGTCGGCCCCCCCATTCTACCTCCCCTGTTTAATTCTCCCTCTAGAATCATGAGAGGCCTTCGGCCCCCATCCTCCTCCTCTCGAGTATTCAGCACTCTGATATGTCATACTTACTAAACACCGATATCGGTATCGACCAATCAGACTGCAATGAATTAAGAAAAAGTGTATTCTAGTACATAGTAGATAGCAGATGGAACCGTATTATCTCTTCCTCAAGGAGTGACTAGTGTTTCAGCATTTACTGTGGCGTCTTTGGCTCCCACGAAACAGACCGCCGGCAAACTTGACTGATCTGTGGTGCAACGGCACTATTGCAACTGCAATGGTTCCACTTCGGTATTAGTTATCCATTGTAATGAGACATTTGAAAAATCTCTCTCATGCATATATATCATGTGATCTCTATATTTTGTTGAGAACACATTGGTTGAACGATTTGCTGAATTTGTCAGTCTTGATATTACGCTGGTATGCCATATATTTCGCAGCATGCTACCTTCAGTTCAATCAATCACTTCTTTTATAGAACACACTAATGAATGAGAAAAATTTTCCAATGTCTCATTCGTCCAAGGGATAGACGACTTTACAGGGGTACCCTAAACCGTACCCCCATGCCATCCTTACCACCCCTGTGCCTCTCACCCGTACCTGCATATGAAATTGTATGGCGAAATGTCTGTGCAGCATATACCAGAAATACAGAGTATGCAAGCTGCAAGCAGAGGCTAAATTTGGTGTAGCTTTTCGCAAGACACGAATCGGAGGTAGTAGACTCTTTGTGCAGAAAGAGCAGTCTCTACCTCTAAACTCCAGTTGTATGTTTGGTTGATGGGAGGACAGCATTAATTAAGTTACCCGAATTTAGGGCTAGAGCACTTATGCGCAAAGGGCCTACCATCAAAAGTCATTTTCCGGTAGTCGAAATTGTTACAAACTTTCTCCAAGAAATATCTGAGTAACCTCGGGGGGGAATCTCGGCATTTGGAAAAATTTAAAACCACGAAATACTCCCTAAGAGCCCCCCGAGAGTCGCCTGACGGTAATATCCCCATGAAAAAACAAGTCGCCAATAGAAAAGGAAAAACCTATTCCACCAGACTATGCGCAGAATCTTACCTGTTCCGAGTATATATAGGTAAATGTATGTAAGATGTGGCCACCAACACCCCCTCCCCCTCCTCCCCACCAAATCTCTCCATCTTTCCATCTCATCATCATCATCGTCATCATCATCATCATCATCATCATCATCATCATCATCACCATCAACTTTCCATCATCACCGTACCCATGGGAACCTCGCACTCTTCATCTCATATCCTACGCTCTCCATCCCACACCACCACTCAGGCACGCCATCGAGCTCTCCATCGCGCACCCTCTTGGTCTCATCAATTCCATCATTGAAGCAACTAAATTAATCGCATTCATCAATGGCTTGTCACGCCTTTCCACCCAGTCCGGGTTTTGGGAATGTTACTTAATTCATCCCCGGCACACTTATGGGTGACGCAGGGAGAGAATTAGGTTGGTTCTATCATCCTCCCATCACAGGATAAATACTAATCAGAGTGGATGATCGAGCAGCTCAACAACGGCCTGAGATCTATCTCTTCCATCAACCCTAGTTTCATCGACTTCATTAGGCTCTGCTGCTGAACACGAGTGAACTCCACCATCTCTAGCACTAGTACCTCCAGAGATAGCGGCTGTAGGTGGGAAAGGCTTCCCCTTCATCAGTGCTGCTTTCAGTATGAAACCCCAACCGACTAGCGTTCAAGTGACGTCTCGCCTACGTCTCTCCACTAAACCTACTCTCGCTCAGCTTTTGAACAGGGAAACCCCTCCGGCGAGGAATAGTGGAGGTTCGGATCGCTCCATTCTCCTTCGGAGTCTTCGCTCTAGTTTACCCCCCGCTGCTCCTCCTCCTGCCGCTGCTCCTCCTCCTGCCGTTGCCAATCCTCCTCGATCCATGGTATCCATGTGCAATGGTGATTAGCCTGCTAGGTATACCTGATGTTGTTACCCATTCTGAGCCAATTTTAGAGTCCATGCTTTGCCTCCTCGATGCGCTACAATTTCATTTCTTAGGTACCCTGATATTCGATTCAACCTTATCCCTCCGCCGACTTGTGTGCCGCCTTCTGCTATAATGCAGCATTTTCGACTGCCTGAACCGCTCACCGTACCTGGATCATCTACTTTTAGCTGTTCTCTTCCGGATACATTCATTTTCTCTATGCAGCCCGAAACCATCTCCGCTCCATCAATAGAGGAATCATCTGTTGTGACCTCATCTCCTGCAGCTCCTCTCTCTCCCCTGGCTGTCGGCCTATCTATCCCCTTAACTGATCCTTCCAGTGGTGGTCTCATTTGCCCGGTAGTCAGTGCAGTGACTATCATCACAAGGCCGGGAGAGATTATCCATCCTCCTTCTTCCCCGGCATTCCACTCACCATCCACCTCTGCCCCTGGTATTGCGCCCGTCAAGTTCACTGCAGCCGCTAGTGCGCCTCCTTCTCCCCTGGCTACCCCTCTGTCACTTCCCGTTGACCCTTCATCTCCTCCCGCTGCTTCCACCTATCTTCCGACAGTACCGCCACTCCCATCGGCCAGCATTGTTGTACCTCCTCCTTGTGCAGACCCAATCTTCCCTGCGCCTGTTGCTGCTATACTTGCCCCTGCTGCCTCTGCTGCTCCTTCTGCCCCTTCTGCCCCTCCTAGTCAATGCTTCCCGCTTCCGCCGATTCCTGTCGCCATCTCTCACCCTACAAAGCCAGTGACTGTCACCACTCTCCCGGTAGCTGCCCTTGCTGCCACAACAAGTTAAGTTGCAGCTGGGGCCCCACTCCGTTCCACGGCCCCAGTATCGGTTTCGCCTCCACCTATTCTCATTGGACTCCCTCTTCCTCACAAGAGCCTTGAACTCCCATTGAGGATAGTTGAAGCTCCTCTCTGCTCTCCTGTTGCAATCTCAATCGACACACGAGTTGCTGCTACCACTGCTTCTGCACCTCGTTTCCCGCTCCCCTCGATTCCAATTTGCACCTCTCTTCCCTCTACAAAATTTACTACCGCCCCCGCTCCCCAGCGTGTTCCTCCTGCCTCAAAAATGATTTCCCGTCCGCCCAGCCAGATCAGCTTTCCTCCTGCAGCCGTGTCCGCCCCTCAATCCTTCTCAATTCACTCTCCCCTATGGGAATTGCTCCTCCTCAAAGCAATGCAGTATCGTCCTTCACTCAAAATTGAATTACCACATTTGGAACTGCTCATGGTTTTCTGGTGGCATCTGCTCCTCCTGGTGTATCTATGCTCTTTGTTAGTTCACAAGCTCATTTCAACCAACAAGCCATTCCGTCATTCATTCATCATCCACCTGAGCTTTCACAATCACAACCTGTCGAATCTTACAAGTCACACCTCGCTGTACCTCCTACTACCTATAGGATACTCAATAACAACTATGCTGGACGCCAATGAGCGCAGCCTATTGGCCTCACAAAGGCGAAGCAAATGGAACGTCAAGCTAATATAAATCAAAAGAGACAGCAAAGAAAAGAGAAGGCAGTTGTGGCAGCTGCACTTTTGGCCGTATATACAGCGCTAGACGCTCTAGCAGAAGGGTCGACAACAGTAGTGGCATCATCATTGCGGGCATTGACTCCCACCCAAGCTCTCGCATCAGCCTCACTATCCGTCACACTAGTAGCCACACCAGCAGTTACATCCGCTACTCGGACTCTGACACAGGTATCCACACAGGTTTCTCTGGCGGCGGCTGAATCCGCTGATAGAGCTGCATCGACAGTAGCGCCTACTGTACCTGTCGAAGCCATTGATATATCATCAGATACCGATATGGTTACATCGGATGATTGCCCTTGGAAGATGTATAGCTGCAGGTCCAAAGTTCCGGTGGCTGGGCAAGGGTGCGCAAATTATGGTCCAGGGTGAAACCAAAACATGAAGAGATCTGCAAGTACCGGACAAATGCTAGAGTGCAAAGCTTCTGGAAAGACCTTATAGAATATCAACAGATATATCCTGATTCTAGGCCCGATGTATGGGGTGCTATGGTGTCAACTGCATCTCGATTTAAAGTTGTGGAGGTTCATGATAAGTCTGCATGTCACGTTGACGAACCTTTGTTGCTTCATTCTCCAGATGTTTGGGAGCAGGGGGTGGCGTCACAGCAAGACGAGGAGCTTATCTGCTTCATCTCGAGGCCAAGGGTATGTCCAATTCACAGTTTACAGAGGATTCAACCGCTAACTATGCTTAGGTTCTCAGCACTGCTATTCCCGAGGGAGGTGACTACTTCAACATCATACACCAACTGCACTAGAGGAACCATTCACCTAGCGATGTTCAAAACATTCTGGGCGTCTTCCCAGAGGCGCAATACGCGCAATACCCACTCTCTGTCTCTGTGTCCCTTGACAGGAGAGGCAATATGGTCGGGTACGAGGGCTACAATCTCACAATTCATCATTATTGGATTGACATACAGGTTGACCATGCACAGGATAATATCTTTGCTTGCATTAGAGAAGCAGAGGAGCTTTGCATTCTTTGGCCCCCAACTCCCAAGAACGAGTGGGAGTTTTACCCGAATGCTTATCTGGAGGCAAACCTCATCGGCGGCTCACATGTAAGGCCGTCGCTAACATCGAGGCTTGCCTCGATTGCTCCTAATCTAGAGCTTTGGAGGATAGCGAGAACTGGGGCCGACTATATACTTGTTACAGGAACTACGGAACACTGTTCTAAAAGGTTTAGGACAGGGACGAATACGAGTGACGGGTTGTGATGCGAGAACGGTCGGGTAATGAAAGGACAAGCATAGAAAGGTATCGGGTAGTGTGGGAGCACGCGGTGTTACCACACTAGTGTTATACTATTATGACGGCACGCTTACTATTGGGTGTCTCACCCGGAATAGAATAGGAAGCGGGGCTTACGGCTGTAGGCTGTTCTACTTAGAGAAGTAGGTCTAGGATAATAGTATGGTACAGCCCGATGACTGGCAATTGCAAGGTTCCTGGTTACGTGTCGGAATTAGAATGGAGGACGGGACTATGCGGGGGCGCTTTTCTATCTGGGTTATCTTCGGGAGCGTTATTTTATTCTATTATCGTTGTATCAGTTAGTGTTAGAAAGCGGGCCTTGGCATAGGTTCCAACATGTATAAATAGGGCTTGATTCTCCGAAGACTTGAGGGTATCATCAACCACCAAGTCAAGGGAATCCGGTTTACAATATCATCAGTTTAAAACGCTACAGAATTATCGCTTAGCACTAGCCATTTTCCTTAACACTATATTGTACCTTATCCCTAACTTTTACTTTTTACCTATCGCATACACTACCAGAAGTCTCAATAAGACAACTACTCGCTTAAACCAATACTCTGGGTATTTTGCTTAGTGGCGGATAGTCACCGTACTTTCAGTAGAAGAATAAGCGCTTAGTCTATTAGAAAAGACCAAGGTACTATATGCACCCCCGAGTGGCAACAGCAGCCATCAACGATTACCTTTGCGCTACATCCTTCATCGTTCGAAGAGGACGCGCCGAACATCTATACTGCGGATACCTCCACTACACAGGTTTCTTCGCAGAAGCAGGAACCACCGCTACCTTCGAGGAAAACGATCCCGAAATCCTCAACTACCCGGAACTCTTCCCAATCAAGATCACTCTTTCGCAACGGTCTTTCGGACTTGCTCACCCAGCCCCCTGGTTCATTGCTCAACCCTGGTGCAGAAGGCATCCACAGCTCAAACTCGAGCAACTTAGCAATGTCAAGGGCTCATCAGCAACGGTCGGAGGAAGACTACAACATGGAGAGTTCAATCGCCTTGAGAGATCGAGGTATATTGGAAACCCAGGCGAAGAGGCGCCACAGGAAAGAGAGAGATGTGCCGATAGGCTCCCTCTTCACATCGACGAGGCAGGAAGAATCCTATGGGCAGGCGAGGAGGCGGCAGGTAGACCACCGAGAGTTCTCCCCATACGTCACCCCAATCAGAGAGAGATCCTCTACTCAGAGGCCCTCGGTGCCTCGGGTAATGGACGACGACGAGGATACCAACATGGACGTAGAGGATCGGCGAGTGGAGAACCCCTTTGGCGACCTTATTGGGCAAGAGGTCCAGCGACAAGGGGCCCCCGTGGTACAACAGCTCAGCCGCGGGATCGAGGAACTCAGCATGCACGTGCGGGATATCCCCATACTCAGGGAACTCACCCGGCAGCAGCAGGAGTATACCAACAAGATCGTCGAGGACCTCCACACCAAGTTCGCTGGGGACAGAGCCGAGCGGGACAATCAGCTCAACCAGGTCATGGCTCAGCTACGAGCGGAATCCACCGCCGCTACCAGCAACCTCGGCCAAGTCCTTGGGCAGATCGTCGAAGCAACTAGGGCGCATCAGGAAAGGCAGGAGCGACAGGATCAGCACATAAATGCGCTGACCAACTTCGTTCAGCAACTCCCGAAAGATGGCCCGGTGCAGATACCCGCGGAGGTTATGGCTGCCCTCGAAAGGATGGAACGGGACAGACAAGCTGCGATGGAAGACCAGTTCGCAGGTACAAAGAAGAACCTGGAGGAGATTATTGACCAGATGCGGGTAGCAGCCAATAGAACGGCAGCAGCCCCCAAAGGCTCAGGAGGCGAAGGCATAGTACCCCCGCCACCTCCACCGAACCCCCCTAGCAATTCCGGAGAGAGACCGGAAGGATCAGGGAGCCAGCCCCCCATACCCCCTCGCTCTGAGGCAAGAGAAAGCCAACGGAGTGAACAGGGAGGCAGAGGAGGCAATGGCAATAACGGCAACGGCGGAAACCGCGCAAGACCACGGGACCCATCCCCCTCAGACTCATCCAGCTCCTCCGATTCAGAGAACGATCGTCGAGCAAGCGAACGAAGACAGAAAAGACGGGAGGAGCGAAGACGTCGTAACAGGCAGCAAGAGGTAGACCTCATGCACCCCCCTCGCGCCACCCTGGGAGATACGCCAAAACAGGCAAAAATCCCCTTCTCCGGAAAAGCCGACGAAGACGTACGGCACTGGATCGACCAAATGGAAGTCTTAATTGAACTTCAGAGGAAAGTCCGGTGGGACGACCAGACCAAGATCCTGTGGGCATCCCTGGAACTTACCGGGAGTGGGGCAAAATTCTGGCGAAACTTCGTGGAACGACTATCAGTTGACCGCAGCATCGGGACATGGGAGAATTTCAAAAACGAATTACGGATTCAATACGGCAATCGGACCAATCAGGAACAGGCCAAGCAGAAGATGGATAAGCTCCGTCAAACTGGCATGATCGATGACTACATCAACGAGATGCAGAATCTGGAATGGGACGCGAAGGTCGGACCCATCGTAATGAAATCCATGATCCTAACAGGAATAAACTCCTCGCTGGAACAACGCCTCTCGAACGCGATCGAGGAATCAGAAGATTTCGCGGAATGGCTAGCCTGGGTTAGGAAGGTCGGACGTAAGGATCACGAGGTGAAGGCCCGGAAAGAAATCTTACGTGGCAAGGATGCTGTGAAACCTCGTGAGGAAAAATCGGAACGGCGAAAATCGCGCAACGCCGCACCTCGGAAAACTTTCCCCGCGCCAACACACAACTCCAAGCCCTCGGAGGACTTAGGTGTCAACAAGGACGAGAAGGAGAAGTGGCAAAAGGAAGGAAAGTGTTTCAGTTGTGGTAGAGATAACCACTTCGCGAAAGATTGCGTGGCGACGAGTAAAGTCAGGTTAACCGACCTGAAAAGGAAACGGTATCCTTCCGGAGGAAAGGACCACGGAAGGGAGGGTGAAAAGAAGCGGAAATTGGGCCCCCAGAATGAGGCATTTAGGGCAAGGATTACAACTTTGGAGGATCAAAATTGATTGGGTATTTCTATTTTTCGGTATCTCATGTTGCGTTACGAGTTCTTTCTATTTTGGGTTACGGAAACAAGGTTTTTATGTCTTATGGTTATCCTTATCGGTTAGCTACGAGATTTTCTATATTTGTTACACGCACGGAAATTCAATTCTCTTTACACACTCTGGGGATGGGGTTACACCCCGAAAAGCCTGGTGCGTAAGTGTTGTATCATGATCTTCATCAAAACACTCGAATTCTCTATATAAACCCCCTCATCCTGCGCTCAACAAAAACCCATCGAACCCCACATCACTCAACCTCTTACCCTCCGCATCGGCAACCACCTAGATAGGGCTATTACCTGTGAGGTTGGCTCGTTTGCAGGAGAAGACCTCGTCATACCACATCGATGGCTCAAGAAGCATCAACCAACCATCCATTGGGGACGCAACAGTGTCAGCTTCCATAGCAACAACTGTATAGTCCATGGATGCTTCGTATCAGTCGAAGACATATACGATCAAGACCCAGAAGAGCTGGTCATCAGGCTGTTGAGGGCGTCACCCAAGAAGCAGATGACGATCGAGCAACACCTCTTTTGGGCAAGAGCATCGGTAAACGAGGCTCTCGTTAGTGCTATACCGGTGGAGTTTCAGGAATATGCCGACGTGTTCTCCAAGGAAGGAGCCGCTCGACTACCTGATCACTCTGAATGGGATCATACCATTCCTCTTATGGAAGGAAAGCAGCCGCCGTGGGGACCGATCTATTCGCTCTCCCCACCTGAAGATAAGGCACTCCGGGAATATTTGGACGAGAACTTGCCCTCCGGCAAAGTAGTCCCCTCCACTAGCCCAGCAGCGGCACCCGTCCTGTTCGTTCCGAAAGCTAATGGTAAGCTTCGGTTATGTGTCAATTTTCGTGGTTTGAATGGAATCACAATCAAGAACCGTTATCCACTGCCACTCATGAATGAGCTGGCCGACGCAACGAAAGGAGCACTCTACTTCACGAAGATAGACCTGAAAAATGGCTATAATCTGATTAGGATTGCTAAGGGCGAAGAATGGAAAACCGCTTTCCGAGCGAAATACGGCCTTTTCGAATATAGGGTAATGCCTTTTGGCTTGACCAATGCTCCTGCGTCGTTTCAGGTCATGGTCAATACCATATTCAAGGATCTTCTAGATCAAGGCGTAGTAGTCTACCTGGATGACATCTTAATGTATTCAAAGACTAGAGAAGAGCATACGACTCTTGTACGAGAAGTTTTGGAGCGACTGCGACGACACCATCTATACGGAAACCTCGAGAAAACGGAATGGTATCAACAGGATGTAGAATTCCTGGGATTTATACTATCAGGAAAAGGGAACCGAGTATCACCAAAGAAGGTGCAGGCGATCGAAGGTTGGTTAGCCCCAACCAAGGTCAAGGAACTTCAATGCTTCCTTGGTTTCGCCAATTTCCTAAGATGGTTCATCCACCGATACTCTGAGGTTTGCAGACCTATGACCGATCTCCTGAAGAAAGGTTCCGTATGGAAATGGGGCAGGGAACAGGAAGATGCGTTCGACGAGCTCAAGAGGAGATTTACGTCTGCTCCAATACTCCGACACTATGACGAACACCGCGAAGCAATCGTGGAGACTGATGCGAGTGACTGGGCCGAGGCCGCAGTACTCTCTCAGGTGTTCGAGGACGGTATTCTACATCCGGAGATGCTTGCAATAGTTTCTGCTCTCTTGACTTGGAGACATTGGCTGGAAGGAACGGACATCCCTATCCAGATACATTCGGATCACCAAAACCCGCAGTATTTCACAACGACCAAGAAGTTGTCAAGAAGACAAGCCAGATGGGCCGAGAAGATAGCACCTTTTCGCTTCAAGATCCATTACCGCCCAGGCGAAAAAAACGGCAAGCCAGATGCACTTACAAGGCGTCCGGAGTTCGCAATGGAAGGGGGAGTAATGCGTGAGCAGCCCGTAAAACAGCTACTCAGCGCAGAACAGTTTGTCAGAAAATCACGGACCAGCGTAGAAACTGGGCCCAAAGTGATTGGCAACCCCGAAGAAGAATGGAATCAGTTGGATCAGTGGTACGATATACCAAGCGTAGAGCTGCCTCAGCCACTACAGGGTTGGTATGAACAGGAAAGACGATGGGTTCGGAGGATGGTTCCGGATGAACACCTCCCTGATTCAAACCTTGAGATCTTTGGACCACCGGAGGCTGCTATCGTAAAGGTAGAGCCTGCCGCTGAATGGAGTCCCGATTCGAATGACCCCACCCACGATGGTCGATGGGTAGTACCGGGCTACGCGGTCAAGCAGGTCATTGAGGAACATCATGATCGACCCGTAGCGGGGCACCTAGGAAGGGATAAAACCCTTGAGTTGATCGATAGGAACTACTGGTGGCCAGGAATGTCCACGGATGTAGCCAACTTCGTCAAGACTTGCGATGTGTGCCAGAGAGCCAAGCAACATCGGAGACACTTGTCACTCCCTCAACCCCTAGAGTTAGCCACCACACCTTGGACTGATATCTCGATGGATTTCGTAGTAGAAATGCCTTAGGAGAAATCAGGATTCCGTAACGTATTGGTAGTCGTGGACCGTTTTACGAAGATGGCTCACTTCATCCCAATGACGGGGATCAACGCGGAGCAGACCGCCAACGCATTTGTCAAAGACATCTGGCGTTTCCACGGACTTCCTAGGACCATCGTCTCTGATAGAGGAACACAGTTCGTGTCAGCATTCTGGACGGCAATCACGGAAAGATTGGGGGTTCGTAGGAGACTCTCTACTTCATTCCACCCGCAAACCGACGGCCAGACAGAACGAACCAACCAACACATGGAAGGTTATATTCGGGCATATACGGCAGGGACAGGCAAGAAATGGAAGGACCTGTTACCTATCTGCGAATACGCCTACAACAATGCGAAGCATACGTCGACTGGGCAATCACCGTTCTACTGCAACTATGGCTTCCACCCCCGAATGGACTGGCCTACGGATGCAGAGATCGAACGATTAGATGCCAACGGAAACAACTACTTGTACGAGATCATCACGGCTCACGAGTTAGCGAGAGATACGCTACAGAAGACTTTCGACAGGATGGCGTTAAAGCCAGGACCCGCAGCACAGCGGTTCACTATCGGTCAGAAAGTCTTGCTGGATACTCGGAACCTTGGAGGGTACTCCAAGTGGTCAGATAAGTTCACGGGACCATTCACAGTGTCGGCAGTGGTGGGCAATCGGGCTTACCGCCTGGAGCTTCCGGTAGAATGGAAGGTTCATGACGTCTTTCACGAGATGTTGCTGCGACCCTATCGTGAGGACCCAGACCCCACCAGAAAACAGAATACACGAAAGCGACTGGCAACACCCGAGCCACAGGAGGCATTGGCAGACGAGAACTTCCAGCCAACCTCGAACATACGACCCCATACGCGAAGTCAAGGCCCAGTGATCGATAATGACCGGGCTCATAAACGACAACGGAACAGGCGAGACTAAGCTCGATACCTTTCCCTACTCTATGACTTTTCCCACAGGGTTTTTATCATAGAAGGGTTTTAACGGTCGAGGGCGACGTCTAGGAAGGGGGAGTAGTGTTACAGGAACTACGGAACACTGTTCTAAAAGGTTTAGGACAGGGACGAATACGAGTGACGGGTTGTGATGCGAGAACGGTCGGGTAACGAAAGGACAAGCATAGAAAGGTATCGGGTAGTGTGGGAGCACGCGGTGTTACCACACTAGTGTTATACTATTATGACGGCACGCTTACTATTGGGTGTCTCACCCGGAATAGAATAGGAAGCGGGGCTTACGGCTGTAGGCTGTTCTACTTAGAGAAGTAGGTCTAGGATAATAGTATGGTACAGCCCGATGACTGGCAATTGCAAGGTTCCTGGTTACGTGTCGGAATTAGAATGGAGGACGGGACTATGCGGGGGCGCTTTTCTATCTGGGTTATCTTCAGGAGCGTTATTTTATTCTATTATCGTTGTATCAGTTAGTGTTAGAAAGCGGGCCTTGGCATAGGTCCCAAACATGTATAAATAGGGCTTGATTCTCCGAAGACTTGAGGGTATCATCAACCACCAAGTCAAGGGAATCCGGTTTACAATATCATCAGTTTAAAACGCTACAGAATTATCGCTTAGCACTAGCCATTTTCCTTAACAATACTCTACGTCCCTGCCGGCTGGTTCCACGGTTTTCTAACTATCAAAGGAGGTATTCTAGCAGGGTATATCTTCACCGTCGCGGATCGCCTGAGAACCGTTTGGCACTGCCTCAACCTCGAGGTGGATAATGGGGGTGATATCGAAGACCTTCAGAGAACGCTTGGTCTAATTCTTAATATGTTCGAAATGGAACTGGTTCATCGAAAAGATCTGCAGGCAAGCATCGGACCCTGGCTAAAGCTACTTGAGCTCCTCCGAAAGAACGAAAAAAACTCGAGCCCTGGCGTTGAAGCCGGAACTAAAAGTATTGTCGATGCTTTGGCCAAGCGTGGTAACAAGGTATTTCCCGCAACCTGCCCATTCGTCGAGAATGGTTCGAAGAAGGGAAAGCTTGACATGGACAAGCAGGTCAAAATCTACGTCCTTGAATTCGAGATTGAAGGCCCAGTCCTTAAAAAGGCGCAGGGTAGACCACGAACAGGCAAAGCGGAAATACAGACCACAGAAATAAAGACCGTAGCCAAGCGTGGAAAAAAACCAGCTGTAAACCCTGCCCTAGAGCCTGGTGGTGATGTACAGGAGATCAATTACGAGGAGTAAACAGCTGTCACAAGGAGACAGAGGCTGACTAGGCCAAAAGACAAGGCAGCCTCTAGAAACATAAAGATTTATGATAGTATCAGCCTTGAATACAAGAAGTAGTGGAATCGATTGTACCTAATATCACAGCCAGAAAGATGCGTTAAGCAAAGAAAACATTGGTTTCCCTTTTGTAATAACTGCACACGTCATAAGAAAGATTATTCCATTGAATCTGTCTTCGTACATGTAATACTAGCATTCTTCCACCCCGCAACCGCGAGGTCACATTCTCTCCCATTTCCTTATAGTAATATTGAGGCATCTCCAACAGTTGATTAGTTTTGAATTGGCCTTCTCATGGCCAGTTCTCACGCGCACCCACTGTGTCCAAATACTTCTATAGCGAGCCATTTCTTTAATCCGTTGATTATCAGACATCTCGTCTCTGCCAGCCCCAATGCCAGGTACAGTGCCAGCGCCAATGCCAGGTCCAGTGCCAGATCCAATATATGCCAGCTCCGGTGCCAGCTCTAATGCAACCACGGTGCCCACTCATATGCCCGCTTCAATGCCGGATGCTAGCTCCGATATATGCTAGCTCCAATTTCAGCTACAATGCGGGCTAGAATTAATGCCAACTCTGACGCCAGCTCCGAGCCCAATGCCTGCCCCGGTGCCAGCTCCAATAGTATACTCCATCTCCAATATATGCCAGTGCCAATTCCTACTCCGGTGGCAGGTTCGATATATGCCAGCTACAGTGCCAGTTAAGGCTCCAATGCCAGATCCAAACTAACTCCGGTGATGGCTCCAATATATACCAGCTCTAGTGCCAGCTCTAGTGCCAGCTCTAATGTTCGCTGCAATTTATACATTTTCCAATCTCCAGTGCCAGCTCCAGTGCCAGTTCCAACTCGGATATATACATTCTCTAATTCAAGCTCAGATTAGTGCCAGCACCCGGGCCAGTTAACTTTACCACTCCAGTACTATTTCTACCCAATGACCTCTACCGCTCCTTCGCCTCCCCCTATAACACTCCCCCGCCTCCTCTTCACCTTTTCTCCACCTCCACCGCTCCACACCCCCCCCCTCTTGTCCCTCCACTGCTCGTCCCGCCCCTCCTCCACCTTCCACTGCTCATAGTTGACTATTTTAATAATTATATTTATTATGTAATTATAAAGTGTTCCGTTGTGTAGGCTATTTTTGGGAGTTCGCCAGGGTTAGGATTCTGGGGGTCATGCCAGCAGGAAAGAAGGCAGGAAAACCGCCAAAAGCACCTCTGTCGCTGTCAACCAATTAGGCTGCACCAATCAGCGGAAAGTGTATTTCAGTGGATACTAGAAGATAGTAGAAGATAGTAGATAGTAGATTTTTTATTAACATATAATCTAATACTCCTACATTTTGTATTGAACTGGGCATTGACTGGCGAAGAATTTGGTAGGGTGAATTGGTTGCCACGCAGGAGTCAGTAACAGAGTTCAACCGAGCCCTGGATATTGATTACTAATATCAATGAGTCAAATCCCGAAGTAATGAATTTTTAGGTATTAATTTTTGGAAAGCCTGATACAGGAATCTGGCATAAATAAACATGAAATAAGCCAATTCCAGGAACAAAGTTTACACCGAATTTCGCTTATTCAATCTTGATTTTTAGATAGGACCGATAGCTCTAATAGCTCTACCTGCCAATCAACAGCATTTGAGAATACACAATATAATCGGATCTGTAGCAATTAGTAGCATGCAATATTGCTGTTTTCCCTGAATTTCAGTATAAGTACCCCGTTGAGCTAATAATAGAGCGTTCTTCTCTCTGAAACCACTAAAAGAGCTTATCGTTGTCAACCTCCGCTAACACGCTACCTGCCTTATCAGCAAAGCATTGAGTTCGGTTCGACGAACCCAGACAAAGCAGGCGTTATCGGGCGTACCAGGTGCACCAGAAGTCTTCTTACCTGCATCGATACGCCACGGCGCAAAATGACATTGTCTCGATGAGAAAATATGAACATCTCTCCCGTTTTCTTCGCGAACTCTTCTTTTGACCAAAGACTTTGTCTTTTGACCCCAAAACGAACACTGGGTCCAGACCTGCATAGATTTTGTCCGCTTAAGGACTAGACTAGGACAATAGTTCCGCACACATGTAACGTTTATTGATACATATGTTCACGTAATTCTATGTACATTTCTACGCGACCCACCTACCTCCATTTACTCCTGCCCCCCCCCCCCTTCCTGACCATTGAGCTGCACGCTGAGCTCGCCGCTGATCTGCCCACCCACCGGGCTCCCCATAGAGTTGCCCACCGAGCTGAACGCAGCGGGATCGATATACTGTGATATTCTTACCTCCAGCATCTTCAGCAGCGGCGTCAATATACTGCAGGATTTGGAGCCTGGGAGGTGTCGAATTCATCCAGTATTTGGTGACTGGTATGAGTCGAAATCGTGGAGTATTTGGAGTCGAAATCGTCCAGTATTTGGTGCCTGATAGGAGTCGAAATCCTCCAGTATTCCTTGACTGGTAGGACTCGATTTGCTTCCTGGAGTGGTGTCACTAAGGGCGCCAAAATCCAGAGGAAGGTAAATACGTATCTAGGAGTTGAGGTAGGAGACGAGGTAGGAGGTGAAGTAGGAGTTGAGGTAGGAGGTGTGGTAGGAGGCGAGGTGGGAGTTGAGGCAGGAGGCGAGGTAGGAGGCGAGGTAGGTAGGTGTAGAGATTTGGGTGAATCCTCGAGGTGTTGAGAAGCGTCAAATCTGACGTCATTAGCTAGCCGTATTAGTATTGGCGACAGTACATAGGCAGAATATCATATCCGCGCGATGTCAAAAGACGAGGTGTCACATTTGGGACGCATACTAGGCTACAAAAGATTACAGATCACATTTTAGAGCTCCGGGATGCGCAGGACGATCAAAAGGTGAGTATTTGGGTGCAAAAGATGAGGTTCTCGCCGCAAAAGATGAATCAGTACGTCTCGATGTACAGTTTTGAAGTTTGGAGTGTGGGAGAAAATGACTTGAATGTGGTTTGAACACGTGACCTTGAGGGAGGATGTGTTTGTAGTGCGAAGAAGATACTATTGCGCCGCTGAAGTTCCAGCGACAATGTGGGTGATTGAGCGCTCTATATATACAGATATTCTAATACCACGTGATCCCCTGATTACATAATCCCTGACACTAAGCCTTGTCTGAATCCCTGTTCCTTCTATGAGTCATCCCTTATACATGAGTAATTCCATACATAACCGATGTCGCAATGCCCTATTTCTACAAGTTTGTCTTGGCGGTTCATTGTTTTTTCCGATGCTGGGCATGTGCGCCCAAATTGGCACGTAATATCGGCAGAATATAAAGAAGTTGGGGGTCGACGCAGGGGGTCTGTAGATTACACTCCTTTCTCTGGTACGAAGTATGGGTGATATATGTCCCTGCAGTATAGCCGTCCCAAAACCTTGGGGCTGACATAATTGGGTGAGGTGCCTAAATTCTTTGTCTCATTAGGCATAAAAAGTAATGATTACACGCTGGAACTAGTCATTGTAGAAGAGTAGTAGGGCAGGATGACGCTACAGCCCTAGATAGGCCTGATAGAGTCATCCAAGGCGTGGCCTATTTCCTGCAGTAGGCGTAGTTGATGTATTTGGTAGCTGTACACTGGCATTTCCTAATTAGTTGTCAGGTTCCTCTTATGGTTCAAATATGCCGTTGTGATTGATACTAGTTGCAATGCTGGAAGCACGTGAGCTTGCCTACCCCCTTACTCCATGTACCGGCCATTCTAGCGAGTAGGAGGTGGAGGTACAATTTGACATATGCCAAGCCTGCTGACGAATACATCATCGACCTGAGACCAACATGTTCGAATACGATGCTGAACTGTACCGCTTTTACATAGAGCATTTACTCATGATGTGCCATATACCGCACATAGGCATATAACTATCTAAGCCTAATCGTCTAAATCAGTATTAAATAGGCGTTTACCCTTGTATAACATTACGGTGGTCAAGTGTGCCGTCATTTGAGCATTCACTCTCTCATGATACACGGTAGATAAGCATAACGGTATTTCAGGCGAATCGTCGAGATCATCATCAATCTACGCATTTTGTTTACTCATGAATAAGCTGAATCAATATACGTGACATTTGCGCGGAATTACCATCCTAGTCTATATACTGATTGCCGAGTGACCACATTCTGCCAGCGAAATGTGTTAGCGACAGCCGTAAACCGGGCAAAGGCTACCTAGGTGTGAACCCGATGTGCCTGTGTACCTGGCTCCTAATTAATTTCTTAGATGTTTAAATTTAGTCAGACATCCGATTTCAATTTGAGAATTGATTTGTTGTCAATTCAGGTTTAGATTTGTTATCAATTTACACAACGATTTGATGTCAATTTGAGCATCAATATGATGCTACTTTTCTCATATCTTAGTGTTAATCAGACCTTGACTTAGTACTAATTAAAGCACCACTTTGGTGCTGCTTCAAATTGGAACATGAATTTAGTTTTAGAATAGGTGTCAAAACACATAACTGGATAATAAGTATGGATTGGTTAATGTAGGCAAGAGGTAGGTGTTGAGGTGGATTTTAAGAAAAAAGGCAAATAATGAGGGAGTAGTCAGGCGTAGAGGTAGGTTTCTATGTTTGGGGAAATAGCCAGTGCTAAGCGATAATCCTGTAGCGTTTAAATTGATGATATTGTAAACCAGATTCCCTTGACTTGGTGGTTGATGATACCCTCAAGTCTTCGGAGAATCAAGCCCTATTTATACATGTTTGGAACCTATGCCAAGGCCTGCTTTCTAATACTAACTGACACCACGATAATAGAATAAGATAATGCTCCCGAAGATAACCCAGATAGAAATCGGCCCCGCATAGTTCCGTCCTCCATTCTAATTCCGACACGTAGCCATGAACCTTGCAATTGCCAGTCATCGGGTTGTACCATACTATTATCCTAGACCTACTTCCCTAAGTAGAACA